GGAGTCAGAATCGCTGCTTCCTTCTCTGGGTCCGGCTGGTGCGCAGTGGCGGGGGCTTGCCTGCCGGGTGCTCTGAGCCCGAGCCCGCTGGAGTGGGGAAAACCGGGTCCCTCTATGGCTCCTCACCCGAAACACGAACTCACAGGCTAATTTCCCAGTTTTTAGTTCCTTGCCTTCCCTCTCGAGTTCCAGCCAGCCAGGGGTGCGGATGCCCGGTGTCTGTGCGGCTCTTCCAGGGGCCCCAGCCGCCCGGGAGCTACAATGGCGGCAGGCGCGCCACCACTCTGAAGTCTAGCCTCCAGGAGCAGCACAAAGAACCAGTTTGTTTGCTTAGCCCCCTCCAGGACCAGTTGGCGCGAGGGGACCTGGTGTGCAGGTATTTGGCAAGTACGGTCTTTCCAACGGAGGTTTTTCTCCCACGTGCGGAGGTTTTTCCGTTTCGGACTCTCTCCTTTTCCCCTCTCACTCCCCGTAGAGGGTAGAGGGGGATCGCCTCCCACCCTGGAGTCTCCGATCCCGGCCCGATTTTATCTTCCCCGGTTCGCACTCACGTTAGAAGGCTCTCTCAGTGGATTCTGCGTCTTTTTTCTCCCAATCTCTCAGGTTTTGTAAGGTTTCCAATGTCTTCAGATCTTTTCTGTGTGATGTATGGGCGCGAGTGCAAGTACGGAGCTCCTTACTTCTCCGCCATCTTGCCCCCCCCCAGAATATGAAATTCTTAATGTGGTTATAAACAGCTCTTAAGAGAGGTCATGCACATTAAATATTTTACAATTTTATATTAATTGCACTTTCTGTTTGGAAGTTTAAGAGGTAGTCAGAACCAGAGAAGGCTGTTTTTTTTTTAATATTCCCATAATCTGACTCGATGGACATAAAGAGAAAATAGGTGCTGTTCCAAGCTATATTTTCCAGATTGACATTTTGACGTTTGATTTTCAGTCTATTGTGCTTGCTCATTAAAAAATAACAAAGATAATTAAAAGTATTGTGTTGTTAATTTCCGATGACATTTCATTTTTAGCACTTGTTTCTATAGAAAAAAAATGGAAATTCCGTGTATTTTTACACAGTTTTATTCATATCAGACTTTTTGTATTTTCTCCCTCTATCAAAGGTTTTAGCTATACTTTTAGAAGTATGTTCTTGTCTTGGATGAATATTTCAAACTTGATTGTTACTTTTGGAGTAACATTTGGAATAACCATGGTTAATTCACTTATAAGTTCATTCACCATGTGAAACACTGACAAATTTTTATACTTTTTCCTTTTGAAGACTTTAATAATTTACATAAGTAAGTTGCATTTATTGTTGTAAAATACTATAAGCTGAAAAACTCTCAGAACAACTTATAGCACAACTCTCTAATTTTACAAATGCATGGAGATATTAAGCAACTTGCTTGTGGTCACAATACTAGTTATAAACAGAGTTGGGACTTAGAATTTAAGTTATCTGACACCTATTTCTGAGCTGATCCTATGTCATGTGACTTTGATAATTTGAAAACTGATGTTATTATATAACAAGTTAAAATATGTTCCATTGTATGTTTTCTAGGATCAAAGTATGTTTGGGCTTGATGTCATTGAAACACCAGAAGGAGACAAGATGCCACAGCTGATTGTTCAAAAGGAGTTAGATAGGGAAGAGAAGGATACATATGTAATGAAAGTAAAGGTTGAAGATGGTGGCTTTCCTCAAAGATCCAGTACTGCTATTTTGCAAATAAGTGTTGCTGACACAAATGACAACCACCCAGTCTTCATGGAGGATGAGATTGAAGTCAATATGCCAGAAAATGCTCCTGTAGGTACTTCAGTGGCACAACTCCATGCCACAGATGCTGACATAGGTGAAAATGCCAAGATTCACTTCTATTTCAGCAATCTAGTCTCCAACATCGCCAAGAGGCTATTTCACCTCAACACCACCACCGGACTTATCACAATCAAAGAGCCACTGGATAGAGAAGAATCACCAAACCATAAGTTACAGGTTTTGGCAAGTGATGGTGGATTGATGCCAGCAAGAGCAATGGTTTTAGTAAATGTTACAGATATAAATGACAATGCCCCATCAATTGACATAAGATATATCATTAATCCAATCAATGGCACTGTGATTCTTTCAGAAAATGCTCCACTCAACACCAAAATTGCTCTCATAACTGTGACAGATAAAGATGCTGACCATAATGGCAGGGTGACATGCTTCACAGACCATGAAGTCCCTTTCAGATTAAGGCCAGTATTCAGTAATCAGTTCCTCCTGGAGACTGCTGCATATCTTGACTATGAGTCCACAAGAGAATATGTCATTAAATTGCTAGCTGCAGATGCTGGCAAACCTCCTCTGAATCAATCATCCATGCTCCTTGTCAAGGTCAAAGATGAAAATGACAATGCTCCAGTTTTTACCCAGTCTTTTATAAGTCTTTCTGTTCCTGAGAATAACTATCCTGGGACCAAGTTGACAAAAATAAGTGCAATGGATGCAGACAGTGGGCACAATGCTGAGATAAATTATCTGCTAGGTGTTGATGCTCCATCTGAATTCAACCTGGATCATCGTACAGGCATTCTAACTGCAGTGAAGAAATTGGATAGAGAAAAACAAGAAAAATATTTCTTCACAGTTCTGGCAAAAGATAATGGAATACCATCCTTAATGACCAATGCCACAGTCTTAGTGAAAATTCTTGATCAGAATGACAACAGTCCAATTTTTACTCACAATGAGTACAACTTCTATGTCTCAGAAAACCTTCCAAGACATGGCACAGTAGGACTAATCACTGTAACTGATCCTGATTATGGAGAAAATTCTGCAGTCACTCTCTCCATTTTAGATGTGAATGATGACTTCACCATTGATCCACAGACTGGTGTTATCCGACCAAATATTTCATTTGACAGAGAAAAGCAAGAATCTTATACTTTCTATGTAAAGGCTGAGGACGGTGGTAAGGTATCACATTCTTCAACAGCCAAAGTAACAATAAATGTGGTTGATGTCAATGACAACAAACCAGTTTTTGTTGTCCCTTCTTCCAACAACTCCTATGAATTGGTTCTGCCATCCACTAATCCAGGCACAGTGGTCTTCACAGTACTTGCGGTTGACAATGACACTGGCATGAATGCAGAGCTTCGTTACAACATTGTAGGAGGAAACACAAAAGGTCTATTTATAATTGACCAAACAACAGGCAACATCACACTGAAGGAGAAGTGTTTTGTTACAGACTTTGGTTTACACAGACTGGTAATCAAAGCTAAGGACTTAGGACAACCTGATTCTCTCTTTAATGTTGTAATTGTTAATCTATTTGTGAATGAGTCAGTGACCAATGCTACATTGATACATGAACTGGTGCACAAAACCATTGAAACACCAGTGACCCCAAATATTGAGACAACTGATGCATCCTCACCAACCAGTGACTATGTCAAGATCATGGTTGCTATTATTGCTGGCACCATAACTGTCATCATTGTTATTTTCATTACTGCTGTAGTAAGATGCCGCCAATCACCACACCTTAAGGCTGCTCAGAAAAACAAGCAGAATTCTGAATGGGTTACTCCAAACCCAGAAAACAGGCAGATGATAATGATGATGATTAAGAAGAGGAGGAAGAAGAGAAAGAAGAAGAAGAAGCATGCTCCTAAGAAATTGCTGCTTAACTTTGTCACTATTGAAGAAACTAAGGCAAATGATGCTGTCAGTGATGGAAACAGTGTCACACTAGACCTTCCCATTGAGCTGGAAGAACAAACCATGAGCAAGTACAACTGGGGAATTATACCTACTACCTTCAAGCCTGACATCCCTGATTTGGCCCAGCACTACAAATCTACCTCTCCACAGCCTGCCTTCCAATTCCAGCCTGAATCTCCCCTGAGTTTGAAGCACCACATCATCCAGGAACTTCCTCTTGATAACACTTTTGTGACTTGCGATTCCATCTCCAAGTGTTCCTCCAGCAGTTCTAATACTTACAGGGTTTCTGAATGCAACTATTCAGTGACAACTTTAAAGACTCCTGAGTCTATACACACAAGGCCGGTAGGTAATCCGAGTTTCTAACTAACCTTTCTAACTTGATTTAATTTTTAAAAATTATTTTCAGTTGAAGTAGAATCTATTGATTCCAAAAATCAAAATGATCTTATTTGCAGAAGTATCCAAATAGATCTAGGGTTTCATTTTATGTTTGGTAGAAAATCAGGATAAAATGACTCCTGATAGTAATGAAATGGGGGCAGAATGATGATTATAAAGAGGCAATATTGCTTGCAGATGGAAGTATGACACTTCATGCTAGAGAATATACTGGAAAGATTCTAAAATAAAGGATCCTGGCACTGTCTCCTGTACTGTTTTGTGTATGAGGATCAACAATCAGGACTAGACTCATCACAGTAAAGCTTTTTAGAATTGGATAAGAAGGTCTTAATACTTAATGGTGTTGGGAATCCTAGCTTCACTTGGGAAAATCTGTCTCCTCAAGATAACAAAATAGCATCAATATATCCTCCCTATTCACTATGCTCCCAAACTCCCACAACAAAAAGAGGATGCTATTTTTAGATTAGAAACAAAACACTATTTTATTTCATAAAATCTTTATTTACACAATGTAACAAGAATGGGATTGCAAAAATTAAGGTGTGCTACTCATTCTCATCTTTACCAGAAAATGAAATATATGTGAGATCTTTATTTAGGATATCCATTTAAGTATTTGCATATTTGTGCAAGGTACTGAAAGCCCTTCAGGAGACATTCTTTTTTTTTTTTTTTCCAATTTATTTCTGAGAGAGATAGAGACAGCGTGAGCAGGGAAGTGTCAGAGAGAGAGAGACACAGAATCTGAATCAGGCTCCAGACTCTGAGCTGTCAGCACAGAGCCTGATGCGGGGATTGAACCCACGAACCGTGAGATCATGACCTGAGCCGAAGTCAGACGCTCAACCGACTGAGCCACCCAGGCGCCCCATTCAGGAGACAGTCTTAAAAGAAAATTACTTTTGGAAAATGAAATATGTCTGCTTTCTTTAATGGGCCTGAAGGAAAGTATTGGCATATTAAGACAGTGGTGTATATATAATAATTGGAGTATGTATAATAATTTAAAACCCAATAAACTTAAGAAAACAAGAGCTTATACAGTGAGTTTTATCTGTATTCTGTGGGAAATGAATACTAATTTACCTAAAAATTTATAAGTAAATTAAATGATTTAAGTATAGTTACTTCCTTAATAAAATTAAGCAATGGAATTTATCTACATTTTTTCTCTGGAAAAAATGACATATGTTGATTTTACTGTCTCGTCTATTTTACTTTTAAAAACATCTTGGTCGGGGTGCCTGGGTGGCTCAGTCGGCTAAGCGCCGACTTTGGCTCAGGTCATGATCTCACGGTTCGTGGATTTGAGCCCCGTGTCGGGCTCTGTGCTGACAGCTGGCTCAGAGTCTGGAACCTGCTTCAGATTCTGTATCTCCCTCTCTGTCTGACCCTCCTCTGCTCATGCTGTGTGTGTGTCTCTCTCTCACAAATAAATAAAAAATATTTAAAATTAAAAAAAATAAAAACATCTTGATCTCAGTTTTGATGAATAAAAGTTTTTTAAAACCTATTGAGTCTTGATAAAATGGTTGTAATGTGAAAGTCAAAATGGGTTTCTTTTCACCAATGTTTGAGATATTAAATAAGACTATCAGAATTCAAAATAACAAAAATAATAATAATTCACCATAATTTAGGAAATGGTTTTAAGAGTTGAAGACTTTTAAGAATATGTATAGTTAAATTATACAATAACATTAATCTTTCTTTAACACACAGTGAAGGTAAGATACTAATCCAGTTGCGGGTGCATTTTTGTTATAATAGGTCTATAATTATGCTATTGCAGACAGTAAAATAGTACCCTATTCTCTGTGTACAGAGTTTCTGTTATGCTTTGAATGGTTTTACTAGGTAGTGGTTACTTCTAACGTTCAAATGAGCCCCATCTTTTCCTACCTATGTGGATTTTCGATGAGTGACAAACACAATAGATGCCTAACATCTCCTCAGAGTTTATTTTTGTTTATATTTAATCATTCATAAAGGTGTTATTGTTTTATAATTTTTATTGCTATTATTCTATTTTTGTAAATATTATCCTCAACAGAAATAACAGAAAGTTATCTTTTATAAATAACACTTTGTGTTGTGTGTCTTGTGTGTGTGTGTGTGTGTGTGTGTGTGTGCTGTGTATCTTAATAGCACTTTTCCCAGGACTAAATTTCTGACTCACTTAAAAATGTATCTAGGGGCACCTGTGTGGCTTAGTCGGCTGGGCGTCCGACTTCAGCTCAGGTCATGATCTCACGGTTGGTGGGTTCAAGCCCAGCGTCGGACTCTGTGTTGACAGCTAACTCAGAGCCTTGAGTCTGCTTCAGATTCTGGATCTCCCTCTCTCTCTGACTCTTCCCTGCTCACTCTGTCTCTCTCTGTCTCTAATAAATAAATTAAAACATTTGAAAATTTTTTAAAAATGTATCTATACAAAGGGTGGGGTTTGTGAATTACATTTGCAGATTATCATTTTTAAAAGATTGTTTCATGAAGGTTGTTAAAAGAGTAAATTCTTTTTTTAAAATGTTTTATTTAATTTCTGAGAGAGAGAGAGAGAGCGTGAGCATAGGGAGAGTCAGAGAGAGGGAGACACAGAATCTGAAGCAGGTTCCAGGCTCTTAGTTAGCTGTCAGCACAGAGCCCGACGAGGGGCTCAAACCCACAAACCGTGAGATCATGACCTGAGTTGAAGTCGGACGTCCAACCGACTGTGCCACCCAGGTGCCCCTAAAGGAGTAAATTCTTGTTTCAACAGTTTTTGAAGGCATAGAGATGTTTTATTAACTAGACTTATTTTACTTGAGAATATGAACATGCACTAAGCAATGCATAGATAATAGATGAAGAAAAACGTTGAAATATTTTGCAAATATCATCCTCCTTTTATTTTTATTTTTTGATATTTTTTAATTCTTAAAAAGTCAAATAAATACCTTTTTCCACAATGCCATTTTCGTTTATTTGGTGATGTGATCTTTTCCTAAACACAGGACATAACTTCATGAGATAGGAAAAATATAAAGAGTAAATGCTAATTCCTGGTCATCACTAGATTTTTATTAACTAATAGGACCATCTTAAAATCAATGAATTTTCAGATGGCTTATTCTATTTTTTCACATCTTAAAAATAAATAAATAATATAATTTTTGTCATTGGTTTATGTTACTAAATTACTAAATATCTGCTGGACATGAATTGGTGAACTTAGGCAGAATAATATGATATTAAAATATTTTGGATTCTTGTATTTTGTGCTACATTTGCAATAAATTTCATTCTTTCTATATACATTCTTCAATTTCTGATTAATGCCAGGTTAGGCATTTACTGATGTTGCAGAATGCTAAGTGAGTACTTAAAAAGAACTAATATATTTAAAACTTGTAATACAATAGATGTCTTCTTTTTAAAGAAATATCCCACAAAGTGGGGGAAATTGTTGACCAAGAGAACAAGAATTCATTCTATTTCCTTAAGGAAATTATGACAACAAAATAAAATATTATTGTTACAGAAGGCAAAATGTTCCAATTGATTTTAAATGAAGTGAAAAATATATTTTCAAAAGGAGACTTTAGGGTGATATTCATTTAGCTCATTATTCACCTAAATAGAAAACAAAAGTTAAGAAATGAGATGGTTGTAGTAGGCTGTAATATATAAGATTTATCAGAAATGTCATGTATTCAAAAAGGAATAAAACATTTTTTATAATTTTTTGATTCAGGTGTTCTGAAAAGTTATAGAACATCCATAAGAAATGTATCTATTATCAAACCATTTATACCTTGGATATGATGCTCTTATATGGTATAAATTTTTACAAGTATTCTAGAAGATACTTTTGTGTATATTGCAGAGGAAATAAAAAACATGAAATTTAAAAGATCATTTTACAGTTTACCTTCAACTAACATCTTTCAGAGCATGCAGATAGCATTTCATGAGTATGACTAGAAAAACAGTTAAAACCAATTTAGAATCAATTTTGATAATTGTCATATAAAAGAAATTCTTGCTTAACATATTTCTCCCATTAAAATATCATAAAGACAATATGCACTTGAAAAATAGAAGAGAATAAAAATGAAAATACCATTTTTTAAGCCACTGTCTTAAACATGTACTTGAGGTACTTTATCTTTTTAAAAAAAAAAAAAAAAAAAACTTACCAAAAAAAAAACCTAACCAATTTATTTTTATTTAAAAAAAATTAAATGTTTTATTTATTTCTGAGAGAGAGAGAGGGTGAGCAGGGGGGGTGTCAGAGAGAGAGGGAGACACAGAATCTGAAACAGGCTCCAAGCTCTGAGCTGGCTGTCAGCACAGAGTGCACACAGGGCTCGAACCCAACAACCGTGAGATCACGACTTGAGCCGAAATCAGACGCTTAACCGACTGAGCCACCCAGGCGCTCCACCAATTTCTATTTCAGGAATGATGTAAAAAGAATGGTGGAAGGATTGGATGGTTATAAGAATTCATGGATGAAACCATTTGTAGATATTATACATGGATTCAAAGTGATAACAAGAGTCTAAGTTAGCTTGAAATACGATTGGTACTATTTGTTAAATAACTTTGGTTTCACATTTTACATCTACATTTTAGTAATGTGAATTCTAAATATTCAGCATGCTTGGCAACTAAGGCTCCTAGAACACAGATTTTGGTAACTTGTTATTTTTCTTGTCCGAGACTGATTCCAGGGCATCAACTATTGAAATCTGCAGTTAGATATAATGTAGGAACAACATAATTCCATTTATCTTCCAAAAAAACTCCAATAATTTGTGGTTTCAAAATTGGCCAAGATCATCGATTTTGTAATCTGGATTTCCCATTATAAAGGCAAGGAAAGCGAAAACATCTTAAAAATAATGTCCCAATGAGCTTTATGCTTACATTAGCTGTAATCTTGCCATAAAAGTTTAAAATTTGTGGAAGAAACAGCGCGGTGTAATAAAAGAGTTTTATCAAGCTGTTTCTTCATTTATTTACTCTACATGCCAACAACAGTAATGTAATACAATGCTGTCTTATAGAAATTGATGGTTAATATATCCTGAAACATGGAATTACTTCTCCTATCTGATTGCTGAAGAGTTTAAACATCATCTCTGGGAGTTTGGAATTGAATCTGAACCATCCAAGCTACCCTCTGAAAGGTGTCCAGGGAAAGAGACATTGTTAAGACTGAAAACAAACAACAACAACAAATCTTTAGGTTTTATGAAAAAAAAACACTAATATAGTGTTGTTGAGAAAATGATTATGATTACTATCACTCTGCTTAAAAGTTGGATGGTACAAAATATTCTTACCGGGTTTTTTGGTTGATTGTAATCATGTTGTTCCACTTTTTTATTGCAAAATTATTTTGTTATAATTATGTTTCCTTTTTCTATAAATACTGAAAAAAGTTATTTTTATTTTTATTTATTTAAAGGAGAATTTATTTTTACTCCATGATATTTTGGAAGAAGAATATAAAGTTTTTTCTACTCCCTGATATAACTCTAGTCATATGAGAGTAGAATCAAAGATTTAGATAGTGTATTTAAAAAGATTTTATCTCAATTGTGAAACTACCTAGCAAAATATTAAGTACTGGAGTACCTGGACATCTACTTTATTTCTCTGGCATTAAGTTACTGAATGTATTTATAGCTTTGAATAATTTGTTCTTTAAAATTAACTAGTTTTTCTCAGTATGTCAATCAATTCATTTACTGCACAAAAAACTAACTGCTTTGAATTGGGTGTATCTTAAATTTTATTGAAGAAAGAATGACATGTCCCAATGTTATGTAATATTCTTTAAGCTGCTTATAACATACTGATACTCCTAACATTTTTAAGTGGTTTTGTGGAACAAAAGGGAGTATAAAGGACCTTTATAATCATGACATAGTATATGTTTCCTTGATTTTCATCCCAATGCTTCACTGTGGGTCATTTTACCTTGCAAAGTGTGAGTAGGATTTGGTTTTTTATGTATGGTCATTAAATTAATGTATTATTTAAAGTTTTCTTTTATGTAAACATATTTAGAAGAGGCTCATGCTCTATTTAGCATTTAATATTAATACAAGTTTTAGATATTTGATATATAGGTAATATTTTAAACAGATTTCTGTTAAAATTTAGTGTTCCTATTTACTGAATACAGAATTTTTTATACATCCGATGATGTCAATTTCTTTAACATAATTACTGTCTGACTTTTTAAACATTACTTAGTTAATTATAATGACTGTGAATGTAATATTTTACTGGTAATGAAATATCATGTAGGTTACAATATTGTATTCCATTCTTATCAACAACTCTTGTAGAAAAATACTTAAAATTAAAATTTACCTTTGTGAAAGTTATTCATATAAAATAATTTTATAATTCTACTCCCATTTCTTCCTGATAAATTAAATGTTTAATTCAGGGGTTCCTGAGTGTCTCAGTCAGTTGAGCACCAAACTCTTTATTTTGGCTCAGGTCATTATCCCAGGGTCATGGTATTGAGCCCTATATTGGGCTCCACACTGAGCATGGAGCCTGTTAAGATCCCCCATTCACCCCCTCTGCCCCTCTCCCATTCTCAACCTCTCTCTCTAAAAAACAAACAAGCAAACAAAAACATGTAATTGAGATCATTTCAAGGAATATCAAAATTGAACCAACTTAAACCACTAGAGTCAATACCTTGCAGGTACCAAGGTTTACTAAGAGCTTCAAAAATCCATAGTCTTGATTTAATTGTGAATAAACCGATGATGCTCAAAAAATGAACCAATCCTTCAAATATCCTATAATAAACTGTGGCTTCATGACCATATGTACGTGTAATTATTATATAAATAAATTTTAAATGCTTCTGTCAAGACCACCTGGTCTTTCCTTTTTTGCACAAGGAAGAATACCTTATTTTTTGAGCTTAGGAAGAATACCTCATTTTTCTTCAGCTCCAGTGAGGCCTTCTTTTATGACTATAATTTAAAATATTCCTTATCACACTTGTGACATATAAGATGAAAATGTCTTGAAATAGTTACCCAGAATCTCTAAAGACTTCCCAAATAGTTTTATAGCTATCATCTTTGCAGAAAATAAAAATAGCCACTTTATTATTAAAGCTGTGATTTCATTCCTCAAAATACAAAGGGAGTGTGAGTTACATTTCAATAAAGCTGTTTTTTAAATAACAAAATAAAATCACATAAATTTTGAAAAAAAAGTTTTATTCAAATTCCAGATAGTTAACACAGTGTGATATTAGTTTTAGGTGTACAATACAATGATTTGATACTTTCATAACACAACTTTTGTGAAAAAAGAACTTCTAAACTGATTTTCTTACTAATTGAGGCTATAAAACATTCACCTGTATAAACCAGGTGTTTGAGATATAACCATATTTAAACCTGGGCCACAGATGAATATGGATTCTCCTTTTGGTTATTAACCATACTTGACCTCCCCTTTGTATATACTTGAGAAAATGTTAACATTTGAAAACAATATACACAACATTGAAACTAGTTTTCCACAAAAGTCACAGAGAACAAAAATATGTATTTTCCTATTTGGTTATTTTTTATCAATTGATTTGGTGGCATTTTTAATTTAATTATTATTATGATTACATGTTTAGCTTATAAGGTCTAAGATATCTTTCCATCTCTTGTGTTTGGATTAATTGACTATTGGAATATTCCCAGTAAAATGTCCTTGTTAATCTTTTTGGTTTTTATTTTAGTCACTAAATAGAGAAAGAAGCAAAGCAACTCTTAAGACTGGTCATCATAGATAAGAAACTTCTACATGAACTTAGTCTATTGAATCATAAGTAGACGATATGATTTATGGATTACAATGTACTACATACTTTCACTCCCACAAGCACTGAAAAATAATTATTTTCTTTAAGTTATTATTTAAATTCCAATTTGTTAACATACAGTGTAATATTAGTATCAGGTGTACAATATAGTGATTAAACATGTCCATACAACATCCAGTGATCATCAGGAGAAGTGCACTCTTAACACCCATCACCTATTTAACCCATCCCTTCACCAACCTCCCATATGGTAACCATTGTTCTCTTTAGTTAAGAGTGTGTTTATTGGTTTGCTGATCTTTCCCAATATTTTTACCTTTAATCTTTGTTTTTTTTCTTAAATTCCACGTATGAATGATATCCTACTGTATGTGTCTTTCTGAATGACTTATTTAGTTTAGGATAATGGTCTCTAGCTCTATCCATGCTGTTGCAAGTGGTGAAATTTCATTCCTCTTTATGGCTGAGTAATATTCCAGTGTGTGTGTATGTGTGTGTGTGTGTGTGTGTGTGTGTGTGTACATCACCTCTTCTTTATTCATCAGTCTGTGGACATGTGGACTGTTTTCATAGTTTGGCTATTGTAGATAATTCTGCTATTTAAACATTGGGTGCATGTGTCCTTTTGAATTAGTATTCTGTGTTCTTTGGTTAAATACCTTGTAGTGCAATTGCTGGATCATAGGGTACTTCTATTTTTAACTTTCTGAGGTTTCTCCATATTGTTTTCCAGAGTGGCTGCACCAGTTTACATCCCACCAAACGTGCAAGAAAGTTTCCCTTTTATCCACACCTTTGCCAAGACCTGTTGATTCTTATGTTGTTAATGTTAGCCATTCTGACAGGCATGAGGTGATATCTCATTGTATTTTTTATTTTTATTTCCCTGATGATCCATGATGTTGAGCATCTTTTCATGTTAATATTGTCCATGTGTGTGTGTTCTTTGGAACATTTTTCCATCTTCTATTCATGTCTTCTGCCCATTTTTTAATTGGATTATTTGGTTTTTGGGGGTTACTTCATATAAGTTCTTTATATGTTTTGTATATTAACCTTTATCAGATATATCATTTCCAAATATCTTCCCGCATTACATAGATTGTCTTTCAGTTTTGTTGATTGTTTCCATTGATATGTAGAAGTATTTTTTTAATTTTGATTAATTCTAGATCGTTTATTTTTGCTTTTGTTTCCCTGGCCTCAGGAGATATATCTAAAAGGAAACTGCCATAGCCAAAGTCAAGGAAGTTTCTGCCTGTGTTCTCCTACAGCATTTTTATGGTTTCAGGTCACACATTTAGGTCTTTAATCCATTTTGAATTTATTTTTGTGAAAGGTGTAAAAAAGTGGTCAAGGTTTATTATTTTGCATCTTGCTGTCCAGTTTTTTCCTGCTTTATTAAAGACTAGTTGACCATATAGTTGTGAGTCCATTTCTGGGTTTTCTATTGTGTTCTATTGATCTATGTGTTTGTTTTTGTACCAATACAATACTGTTATGATCACTAGAGTTTTGTAATATAACTTGAAGCCTGGAATTGTGATGCCTTCAGTTTTGTTTTGATTTTTCAAGGTTGCTTTGGACATTCAGAGTCTTTTGTGTTTCTATGTATATTTTGGGATTGCTTTTTTCTAGTTCTGTGAAAAACGGTGTTGGTATTTTGATAGGGATTGCATTCAATGTGTGGATTGTTTTTGGTAGTATAGGCATTCTTAATTTTTTAAAAGTTTATTTACTTTTGAGAGAGAAAGAGAGAGACAGAGCATTAGCTAGGGGAGAGGCAGAGAGAAGGACAGAATCTGAATCAGGCTCAAGGCTCTGAGCTGTCAGCACAGACCCTGATGTGGGCCTTAAACCTACCAACCATGAGACTATGACCTGAGCCAAAGTCAGA